GCATCTCTGCAATGAAAAACATGTAAAATCAAGTTTCTCCAGCTCATATGGGGAGTCTAAAAACACAAAACAAACAACAAAACAGAAAAAGACTCACAGATATGGAGAACAATCTGGTAGTTGCCAGAGGGTAGGGGGATAGAGGGACAGACAAAACAGGCAAAGAAAACTACTTCCAGTTATAAAATAAAGAAGTCACGGAAATGAAAAGTACAGCTTTGGAAATATGGTCAGTAGTATTATAATAGTATGGTGATAAATGGTAACTACCCTTATCACGATGAGCATTCCATAATATATATAATTATCCGATCACTATGTCGTATACCTGGCACTAATATGTCAACTATCCTCCAATTTAAAAACAATTTTAAAGATTCCCTAGCTTAAAATCCCCCTTTTAAATGGGAATTATGCTTGCTTTATTATTTTCCTAAAAAATATCAGGAAGTTTGTCCCTCAGTGTCTAAATAAGGTGAAAGAAAATTGTCATTGATATTATTTTAGCTTGCCATTTCTGTCGTCTGTGAACAGTAAGAGATGAAACCACTCTTCCCCTCAGCCTAGCCCCAACTCTCCCGGTGGCCTGGCTTACCCACTGAGATTCTCTTGTCACAAGCAGCCCTTCCATTTTCTGCCCACATGGCCAAGCTCTGGGGGAAGGTAAACAGGTGGCTTTTGGGTGGGCAACTTGACAATATGTGTTTAAAATATGGATATAATTTGACCAAGAAATTCCACTTCTGGGACTTTATCTTAAAGATACAACCAGTCAAGGGGTTGCGGGGGTGGCTCAGTCAGTTAAGCATCCAACTCCTGATTTCAGCTTAGGTCATGATCTCAGGGTTGTGAGATCGAGCCCCACCTCGGGCTCCACACTCGGTGTGGAATCTGCTAGGGATTCTTTCTCTCCCTCTGCCTCTCCCCCCTTTAACATGCTCTCTAAATAAATAAATATCTAAAAAAAAAAAAAGATAGGGTGCCTGGGTGGCTCAGTTGGTTAAGTGACTGCCTTCAACTCAGGTCATGATCCTGGAGTCCGAGGATTGAGTCCCACATCGGGCTCCCCGCTCAGTGGGGAGTCTGCTTCTCCCTCTGACCCTCTCCCCTCTCATGCTCTCTCTCACTCTCTCTCAAATAAATAAATAAAATCTTTAAAAATAAATAAATAGATAGTTATATTGCAAAGATGTACAGAAGTGCCAGTTATGGGGGTATAGCTCAGTGGTAGAGCATTTGACTGCAGAAGTGCCAGTTAATACTCCAAAAGCAAACCTCAACCAATGAGGAATGGAAGTTGGTGAATAAATACCCAGGTTCTTGGACCCTCCTTGAGCAAGGGAGGGATGTAGTCTACACAGTCTCTCAAGGGGTCCACAGAGCAGTGAGCCTCAGTGGTCACCTGCTCACTAACTGCCCTTTATTGACTTTCTTTCCCCCCTGTTTCACTTCCCCATTCCATCACCATGCTTCTTAGGATCGCCTCCAAATTAACTACTTGCCTCCAAACTCTTGTCTGAGTCAGCTTTGGGGGAAGTCCATGCTAATACTGTGTGTGTTTAAACCCAAACCACTAAGTTATTTGTGGGTCCTCATATTGACTTACCCTTCTCACCACACACACACAGGAAAAAAATAAGAAGGGAAAAAAATGAGGGCCTTTTTTTTGTTTTTTTTTAAGATTTATTTATTTTAGAGAGAGAAAGAGAGCACGTGCACAGGTCGGGAGGGGCAGAGGGAAAGAATCCTCAAGCACACTCCCCCGCTGAGCACACAGCGCTATGTGGGACTGGACCCCAAGACCCATATCATGACCTGAGCAGAAACCCATGAGATCATGACCTGAGCCCAAACCAAGTGTGTTGCTTAACCGACTGAGCCACCCACGGGCCGTTTTTTAAAACAATAATTAACTGTTACAAAAATGCAAACTGTTCTGTGAAGTTTTGTAAAGTTTCTCCCTCAAATGCAAAATGTTTTGTAAAGTTAGGCATTTAATAGGTTGGTCTTGGAGTTCAGGGTGAGCACTTTTCCTTTTGAAACTGATTCCTTACGTCTACTTAAGTGTTTCTACTAGAAAATTCATAACGGTTTTGTAAGTCATTTTAGGTCTTTCATGGAAGAATATGATTGTGAAGGAAGGTCTGAAAACCTAGGGACATTAATTCATGGCTCCAAAGGCTCTAGACTGAGTCCCGCGCCCTCTCTAACGTGCCCTAGGCTGTGGAGTCCACCTCTTCCGTGCTCCCTCGTCCTCCCTCCTCCCTGGGCCGACGGTCAGTGGCTCCCCGGGCTCCCACAGCGGACACAGCAGGGCTCGGCCGCCCCCCCGCAGCGGACGGCCCACGCCCGGTCCTTGGCGCCCGAGTCGCTGCGCTGCGGTCCGAGCCACCAGGCCGGCACCCGCCCGGCTGCGCAGCCTCTCCGGGAGCGACCGCGGCGAGCAGGCGGCTGGACCCGAAGCGAAGCTGGGGGGTTCCGGACGTGGCGGCAGAGCCGGACGCGGCGCCACGCGGGAATCAGTTCCGCCCGGCGGTCGACGATGACAGATCGCTACGCCTTGGGATCAGCGGACCAGGAGCCCGCAAGGACCCAAACGCACACCACAGGCCAAACGGCGCCACACCCCTCGGCCGGGAAAGCAATGCGCCTGCGCAGACAGGAATCTTTCGGTCTCTGCGCAACGGCGCGGCTTCCTAGCCAATCAGCAGGCGTGACGTTTCCTCGCCCCGCCCCCACCCGCCGCGTCCTCGTCTGGTCTCCATGACAACTCCTGAGTGTTTCCCCCGCCCCCAACCGGTCGAGCCAACCTCAAAGAGCCGCTGCGCCAAGGGACCAAAGGCAGGAGGAAGGTGACTAATTTCTGGGTCGCTATCATTTAAGCAGGTAGGGCTGTCGTAAGGGGAAAAGGTTTTCACGTCCCCACCTGACTGATGAACAAGAGATTACCGCGAGAAAGGCTGGGTCCCAGAACCAGGCACAAGAGGCCGATGAAGAAAAGCCAGAGGCTGCCTTTTAAAAAGTGAAAAATAAGGGCGCCGGCCTGGCTCCGTCGCAAGAGCGTGGGGCTCTTGATGTCGTTGTGAGTTTGAGCCCCACCTTGGTGAGCGATTTAAAAAATAGTCTTTAAAAATAAAAGTTTAAAAAAAAATTTGAAGTTAAAATAAAAGTGGAAAATAACCGCCGGCAGCCCTTTTGGAGTCCACGAGGAAAACGAGCCAAGGATACAAAAAAGAAATATCCTCCCCAAATAGCAGAGAAGTTGGGCAACCTTGCAGCCAACATTGAAAGCAGAAAGCTTTTCGCGAGGGGCAAGGCAAGCGTGCTCACGAGGAGCGAGCGAACCAAAGCATTAAAGGACACGGCCTGCAACTGTCCTCTATTCGGATCAGTTTTGCAGGAAAGGACCCCCCCCCAACTCATCTGTGATTTTCAAGCCTTCTCCTCTATTGGAGACCTTTCCTCTCATGGTCAACAGAACAATGACATAAATCCACACGACACCGGATTAGGAATAATTTTGAAGCGTCATGGGAGTCACATGCCATACCCTTAAAATGACAAGAAATAAAAGGAAACGAATCTCACGAATTTTCTCTCTTTTCCTAATTTCTTCATACTCTGGCCTCTTGAATTTACTCCACGAGAAACCTCTGAATCTCTTCTCGTGTGGGCTTATTACAATGTCAATCATCAAGTACAAAGGAGGGGGAGAGGGCATGATTCAGAAAGCCTTCTTCAGGAAGGAGTATCAGCCCCGGTTCTCTGCTCTTAAGAAGCCCCTGGCCTTGTCACAGTCATGAATCTTAAGGACTACATAGAGCTGTTAAAAACACTGGCCTCTCTCAAAGGGACTGGTAGGTAAAATTGGGCTTTATATCCAAGGAAAACCACTCTGACTCTCCTGTATGCTATTTAATACCTTATTACACTTACAGCAGTTGCCTAAGTAGGCGCCATAACCTGGATTAGAGAAGGCACCTCTTAACCCAGGAACTCTTTCCTCTGGAGCCTACACAGGAACAAATCCCAGACGATACTGTCCCATCCAATGAGGCTCCCTTTGGATGGTGTCTTAATGTGAAGAGTGCCCTAACTCTGAGCTCTGCCTCTAAGTCAATACAGAAGCCATCTACTCTTGGCATATGGTCTTCCCCAAATCTCCCAGATTGTATAACATGGAGAAAAGCAAGTTCTGACATCTATAGTCCCATCACTCACTGATGCTTCCACCATCCCTAGCAAGTGGTTCCATTATGCCCTGGTGATTGGCATGCTCAGCAGCCTTCCTCAATACTTATCTCAGGGCCACACGTACAAACACACATGTGCAAAGAGGCGGTAGAGTAAAAAGGTTAAGAACAAGGACTCTTGAGCTGGACTACCTGAGTTTAAATCTCAGCTCCACAGTGTTTGCAGGTTGGCCAGTGACTGCCTTTCTGAGTCATGGTTGCCTCCTCTACAAAATAGGGATAAGGTGTGCCTAAATTTAAGGGTATTGTTGAAAGAAATGAATGAGTTGATACATACAAAAGGTTCCTGAACAGTGTCTAGCATGTAATAAATCTTTACCTCAAGTATTATCTTTTATTGTCATGAAAATCCTCTGAAAGGGGTCTGGGAAGAGCTAAAATACAAAGAAAAAACAAATGGCAGTTTATACACTGAATTCTGCCTTACTTTATGCTTATAAAAGGAAAGGAATGGAATATCAATGCCTGCTTCTTGAGTTGCATTTCTAGGATAAGGGCAAAAACCAGGTAGCTTTCCTTTCTTACATTTACTAAAGAAGAGATTTAAGCTAGGTCTGCTTATCCAGATACCTAAGGCCAGGTTTATTTGGGGAAATGGATTTTTTTTTTTTTAGATTTTATTTATTTATTTGACAGAGAGAGAGACAGTGAGAGAGGGAACACAAGCAGGGGGAGTGGGAGAGGGAGAAGCAGGCTTCCCGCGGAGTAGGGAGCCCGATGTAGGGCTCGATCCCAGGACCCTAGGATCATGACCTGAGCCAAAGGCAGACACTTAACTGACTGAGCCACCCAGGCACCCCGGAAATGGATTTTTTTTTTAAGACTATTTATTTATTTATTTGACAGACACAGCAAGAGAGGGAACACAAGCAGGGGGAGTGGGAGAGGGAGAAGCAGGCTTCCTGCGGAGCAGGGAGCCCGATGCGGGGCTCGATCCCAGGACCCTGGGATCATGACCTGAGCCGAAGGCAGACGCTTAATGACTGAGCCACCCAGGCACCCCCGGAAGTGGATTTTTTTACCTAAATTAAACAGAAGTATTTCTCAATTCTCCATGATGCTGTATCATAGCAACCTTCCTACTAGGATGAATTGGCATATCTTCTGATATAATCAACTCTGGCCAACTGAGCAAAAACATTCATGGAGAGGAATAAAGGAGTATACAAATGTATTGTCTGTGCCTGTCAATTCTTTGGAGAAACAAAATTACCTTCAGTAGTGAGCCCATAAGGTGGAAATAGAGTATTATCAATATTGTCCTTATAAATCTCTGCGTTTGCTCACAAAATGCAGTTACATAGCTTTGTGTATAACTCTGATAACATGCTATTATGTGTTCATATGTATAAATGTATAAGTAAACAACAGAATGTTATATATGTAAAATATAATTTTACAATATGTCTAATTTCACTAATTTATCTTGGGCTTTTTTGGAGGGGGTGTCTTGGTGCATATGGTTGAATTCCTATTAAGTAAAATGTAAGTATGATAAGATTTTCTCCAAAATGTTTATCTCAAGCCACTATATTTTGTATGCATAACGTTGGCAAAACATATCCAGAAATCATCTAATGTATGATGTGTATCAAAGGTACTACAGGGGTAACTTTTCATTGAACAACTCATCTTATATGAATTTTTAAAACCGTGTGTAACTATTATTTTGTTTAAAATCAACAATAAAAGACCTAACAAGATAGTTACTTTCCTCATGGGGAGAACTGTGTTAAAGCTGGAGATAAAACCAGATATTAAGATCAAACTAAAAATGTTTTATAGGCATATATAAGGGATATAATGAATGGCAAAGGTTTTCAGAGAAGGAGGTTATTTTCAACTGTGGTGGTCAAGGAGAAGGTGACAATTTAAGTTGAGTCCTAAAGGAGACTAACTTGCAAATTGAAAAGAGTGATAATGTGAGAACTACCTCTTGATTAAAAAAACAAAAAGAAAAAAACGATTAATGCCCCCTCAGAAAAGGCAGAAAGCCCTGCTTTAATCAACAAAGATCTCTTCCTACAATCCTCAAATCAAGCCCGGGTCACCACACAACGAGCTCATCACAATAGTGAAAACTATCCAAGCTTCTTAGAGGAATTCGAGATATAACATGTATGTTAATTTTCCCTTCACTCAACACAAGCAGTTTTAACCACATAACTGGTTTTAACCATATAAATTCATTCTAAATCAGGCCTCTGAAGGAAGGGCAAATGTTTCTCCACAACCCACACTAACTGGATCCAGGAAAGAAAAGTTTTTGAAAGGGCCTTGCTATACCTAAGATGTTAACTAACATTATTTGAAGAGCTCTGATTCTAATAACAGACACTTTTATGGAGGACTCTTTTTTTTCTTGTCTCCAATTTCTAAAAGGTACTAAAAATTTCATGTATTTCAATAATTATTTCCAGATGTTACCATTTCTTCAGAGTATTTTGTCTTACAATTTTCAGAACAAAAATCCCTTTTTCCTCTATCTTCAGTTGTGCTTTTCAGCTCTGAAACTCAAGCCCTGTTGAACTTCAAGCTGTAACTAACACTAAAGTGTGTAAGCACTTTAAATAGAAGAGAAGGACGGGAAAGTCAGTAAGAAGGGAGAGTTCAAAGTAGCCCTTTTAATGAGGACAGTACTGCTAGGGGTAGGAATGATTGTATATTAAGGCAAAGATTTATAGAAAGGTGGTATTTGAATATACGATCAACCATGAGTCCATTTCACTTGGACATGGCAGTATTCCAATCAGTACAAGGAGGGGCAATGAGCTCAAGTTTGAACAACTGGAATTCCTTTGCGTGTTGGAAGAGCCTATTCCTGGGGCCAGGAAAAAAAAAATCACTTCATGGTGACATCAGTCATTTTCAGGTACAGATGAAAATACACACACACAGAAAGATTAATGGTTGGTTTCTTAGGCTATTCCAGCTTTCAGATCAGTATTTCTTCACATGGATTTGTGGTATTCTGGCAGCTAATTCTTTGCAGGAGAAAATGGGAGGAGAGCATTTTCAAAAAAAGGGAGGGGGGATCACAATTATAATAACCCATGAAAGTAGGATTCTTTGGTATTTAACAAAGTGAGGAGTCTGAATGACCACACATTCAGAGTGATTCTCCACTGTGAAGTCTCTGATGCCTAATGAGGGCTGAACTACACCTGAAGGCTCTGCCACATTCATTACACTCACAGGGTTTCTCTCCAGTGTGAATCCTCTGATGTTGAGTAAGATGGGCACTTCTACTGAAGGCTTTCCCACACTCAGGACAATCAAATGGTTTCTCTCCAGTATGAATCTTCTGATGTTGCGTCAGCGATGAACTCTGGCTGAAGGCTTTCCCACAATCTTTACAGGTGTAAGGTTTCTCTCCAGTGTGGGTTTTTGTGTGTTTTGTGAGGGTTGAGCTCTGGCTGAAAGCTTTATCACATTCTCTACACTTGTAGGGTTTCTCTCCAGTATGAGTTCTCTGATGTCGAATAAGTGCTGATCGATCACTGAAGGCTTTCCCACAGTCATTACAGGTGTAAGGTTTCTCTCCAGTGTGAGTTCTCTGATGTTGATAGAGGTGTGAGCTTTGACTAAAGACCTTGCCGCACTCACTACATTCATAGGGTTTCTCTCCAGTGTGAATAAACTGATGGACAATGAGGGAAGAGTTGTGACTAAAGGCTTTCCCACATTCCCTGCATTCATAGGGCTTCTCTCCAGTATGAATAAACTGATGTTCAATACGGGATGAATTGTGACTGAAGGCTTTACCACATTCGTTACATTCATAAGGTTTCTCGCCAGTATGAATTCGTTGATGTTGAATAAAGTGCGTTATCTGAATGAAAGCCTTCCCGCATTCATTACATTCATGGGGCTTCTCTCCAGTATGGATTCTCTGGTGTTGGATAAGAGAGACGTTATGATTAAAGGCTTTTCCACATTCCTTGCATTCATATGGTTTCTCTCCAGTATGAATTCTCTGATGTACTGTAAGGGCTGAATAATTACCAAAAGTTTTTCTACATTCACTACATTCATACGGTTTCTCTCCATGTTGGGTTCTCTGATGTTGAATAAATGGTGCATTCTGAATCAAGGCTCTTTCATGCACATTATATTCCTTCCCACCATGAACACTCTGATGATGTTTGGTAAGGTGTGAGTTCCAGGTATAGCCTTTTCTATCTTCACAAGACTTCTCTCCAATATTAGTTTTCTGATGTTCAGTGCAGTGTATACCGTGACCAAAGGTCTTCCCATACTGATTACATTTCAAATTGTTTTCTCCACTATGAGCTATACGATGTTGAACATAAACTGAGTGATCACTGAATATTTTACTACGTACATTACACTGAAGAGTTTTCTCATTTGGGCTATCTTTCTGATGTCTTATTAATTTTGCATTCTGTTTAAAACTCCTTCCCTGAGCATGAGACGTATATGGTCTCTCTTCTTCAGGGTATCTTGATTGTATAACAAAGTCTGACTTCAGACTAACACGTCTGCCAGATTCAATATATTTGGGCTTACTATCAGTTCTAGAAGTTCTTTTCTTGCAGATAACTGTTGCTTCTTTCCAGAGTCTATCTTGACCATTCTCTTTGATCTCTGCATATCCCCAGGCTTCCTTCAAACTGGAAGCCCTTGTATCAGCCCCTGTGCTTCTCTCCATACTTATCCCCTGGCATGATTCTTTTTCAGAAAATACCTCCTTTGGGTTTGACTTTCTGGTCTCCAAATCTGGAGGGGAAAAGTAAAAAAAGTTCCCTGTACTAGAAGAAGGAAATGACTAAAGCAGGATTGAGATAATAAAAGTATGTAAATACCATTAGTCACAAATATAAGTCAAGTCGTCAACAGATAATTTATTGAACACCTATTACGAGCTAGGCGCTGTGTTACATGCTAGGATTCAATGATAAACAAAGCAGATATAGTACCAGCTCTTTTGAGATTTACAGTCTTTTGGGGAAGGTAAGTATTAATCAAGTAATTTCAAGAATGACGAACGCTGTAAAATAATGTGTTAGGGAGATTTTCAGTTGGGAAATGATTGGTATTGTACATAGGAATGATAGCTGCCCCTAGCTGCTGAACCACTAGAATCTTCCCTGGCTTTTGATACCACCACCAGCAGTCCCCTGTGTCCCCTGTCTGGAGTTCACTCCGGCTAGGCTCATCCTTTAATGCCTACATCTTCCATTCCCACTGGCAGAGTTCCCCATTAACTCTCCTTGATTATGCCTGAGGTTGCTGTTGGATTCAATAAGATCATTAACCAGATTTTCCTTTGCCACTCTGAATATTACCATTTGCCAGAATGGTAATATTTCCTTCAGCTTTCACTTTTTCTCCCTCTCTCTGGGCCTCCCAAAATACACACATACACACCCCCCAAAAAGACAAAGAGGGTCAAAGTTCAGGAGAATGCATAAATTTTAGGAGGATCAGGGGATTAGGCTTACTACTAGTACTAGTTCAGCTTTCTTTTCTTTTTTTTTTTAAGATTTTATTTATTTATTTGACAGAGAGAGACACAGCGAGAGAGGGAACACAAGCAGGGGGAGCTGGAGAGGGAGAAGAAGGATTCCCCGCTGAGCAGGGAGCCCGATGTGGGGCTCGATCCCAGGACCCTGGGATCAAGACCTGAGCTGAAGGCAGATGCTTAACGACTGAGCCACCCAGGTGCCTCTGGTTCAGCTTTCTTATAGGTAAACTACACATGACATACATCTTAATTGTTGTAAAGTTGGGACTTTATAATTGAGGATCTTGTAAGTAGTCTTTCAGCCTTATGAAGGGTAAGACAAACAGCACATGTGTTTTGCAAGCTGGACTATTTTCAAAGTAACCTCAGTATGTGGCTTGGACAACCTTATATAATGTAGAAAATCAAAGTTAAAAGAAGGCAACATAAGTTAAGCAGGGGAGAGAAATGGTAGCAGGGGAACTAATCCATTATCAGGTTAGCCAAAAAGAAGGAACAACCTGTTAAGTCCAATGCACACTCTTCAGGTCTTGACCTCTCTAGAATATATCACTATGAGCCCCTCCCCTCCTTGAAATGCTCTTTTCTGTTGGCTTCTACAACAATAACCTGACCTGGTTTCCTTCTGCTCTGGCCACCCTTTCTTAGTATCCTTTCTGGATTCCCTTTCCTTCATTTATATTGATAAAATTTGTAATAACATACCTCTACTGCCATCACCCATTATTAAAAATCATTACTATTTTATTGTTTTGACAACATTTTCCCCATGTGTTTTTTTTTAAAGTACACAAGTGATATAGATATATAGAGATATAGACAGATAGCAGATACTTAAATGTGTGTGTTCATTGGGCTTCTAAGTTCTCTTGCAACTTTTTTCATGCTCTGTTGCTCAATTTTCATATTTCATCCACTCCCATGACTTCAATTACCATCTATTCTCAGATGACTCTCAAGCTGTACCACCAGTTATGATCTCTTTCCTTCACCAAGATCCATTTGACATCTCCTCCTTATATTCATCTACCTTCCAGACACCCCTGCTTAGACCAGAGTTTCTCAACTGCAGCACTACTGAAATTTTGTCAAGACAAGTCTCTGTGCGAGGGGCTGTCCTGTGCATGGTAGGATGCTTAGCAGCATCTTTGGCCTCGACCCACTAGATGCCCATAGCATCCTCCCAGTCTTCAGACATGTCCCCTGGGGGCAAAATCACCCCTGTTTGAGAACCACTGGTTTAGATCTGCTATAGACTCTTCCAACAGAATAAACAGAACTCATCTTCCACCCCACCCCCCTAAACTTGCCATTTCTCCTGTGTTTTCCATCTCAGGGAAGAGAACTTCCACCTACCTACACAGCCAAGCCAGAAACCTGGAAATCATCTTTGTCTGTTTCTCCCTCACCTCCCACATATAGTCAGCAAATTCTATCAATTTTACAACCTTAAAATTGGATGTAAGATCACACTCCTTAAACTTACATTCAAATTCTTTCATTCTCTTCTTACTTTTTAGGTAGGAAAAAACTAGGTACAACGAAGACAAAGTAAATGAAGGAGAGACTCCAGCTACTAGAGAGGAAAAGGGAATGACCTCATAAAATGCCAGAATGAAGCACAACTTGATCTCTGGATCGAGTGTCACGGTTATAACTTTAAGGAGGGAGTACCTTCCTTAATTCTGGGAAGAAATAAGAGACTAATGAGACTGATATGTCAACATGAAGATGAGACTTAGAGGGGGCCTCAACATTTTCTACAGGCCTGGAGGATTTGGGGAAGAACCCCTAACTCATATTTCAAAAGATGTTGTCTGCCTTGTTCTTACTTACGTGAGCAGCTGCTTCTTAGCACTTCTCTCTCCTGCATCCATGGGTTTCCTGCTTGTTCCAACTGGGAGATGATATCAGGTTTAGAAAATGGACATCCTACTCAAGGGAAAGAAATAGAATCTGATTGTCAGTTTCCAGGACAAAGGGCCACCCCATTTTCAGTCCCACTCTTGTGTTTTCAAGAGCAGAAAACAAGTAACTAATTGTCAAAAGCAATTATACATTTTCTACCAAAGTAGGGTGAGAAACAGTTTAAGGATCTGCTCTGGATTCTGGAGGAAAATGTTAACCAAAGCCTTCTTTGTTTCTTTCTCTCTTTCTTTCTTTCAGAGGGCAGGAGGAGCAGAGGAAAAGGGACAAGCAGAGTCCCTGCTGAGCACAGGGCCCCACACGAGGTGGGTCCCATGACCCTGAGATCATGACCTAAACCAAAATCAAGAATTGGACACTTAACCGACTGAGCCACCCAAACACCCCACCCCCCAAAGCCTCCTTTCTGATCGTCCCCTAATAGGAGCATGGGAATCTTTAGAAAGCAATGGCATCCCAAAATGCCTACCTGAGGTGAGGACCCAACCTTACCCAAGGAGACCAGGTTCCTATAGTTCTCAAGCATTACATCCCTGTACAAGTCTCTCTGAGCAGGGTCCAGTTCTCTCCATTCTTCCTCAGTGAAGTTCACAGCCACATCCTTGAAGGATAAGCCCTGAAGCAACTGCATGGGGTTCGGAAATAACGGTTGAATGAGGCAGAATTAGGGGAGATTCATGGAATGGAGAGGAAATGGATCCAACTATGTTCATAGTGTCAAAGGCATACTGACTCGTAGGTTAAAGAGTCTTAAAATGTGTATACCCCTTGTTATGCTGAGCGAAATAAGTCAATCAGAGAAAGACATGTATCATATGACTTCACTGATATGAGGAATTCTTAATCTCAGGAAACAAACTGAGGGTTGCTGGAGTGGGGGGTGGGGTGGGAGGGATGGGGTGGCTGGGTGATAGACACTGGGGAGGGTATGTGCTATGGTGAGCGCTGTGAATTGTGCAAGACTGTTGAATCACAGATCTGTACCTCTGAAACAAATAATGCAATATATGTTAAGAAAAAAAAACAGTAGCAGGAGGGGAAGAATGAAGGGGGGAAAATTGGAGGGGGAGATGAACCATGAGAGACGATGGACTCTGAAAACAAACTGAGGGTTCTAGAGGGGAGGGGGGTGGGAGGATGGGTTAGCCTGGTGATGGGTATTAAAGAGGGCACGTTCTGCATGGAGCACTGGGTATTATGCACAAACAATGAATCATGGAACACTACATCAAAACTAATGATGTAATGTATGATGATTAACATAACAATAAAAAAATTTTTAATGTGTATACCCTTTTGACATACTGATTTTATATCTAGAAATCAATTGTAATAAAATGACTGGAGATATGAGTAAAGAGTTATCAACAGATTCTTATCTATTTATAATTTACAATAGCAAAAGAGTTCTAAATAACCTAAATATTTGAGGAGAGTGGCAGAAGCTGCTAACTGCTCACTAAAGTACACTTCACCTCCTCATCTTTCTAGGTAGACAAACATTTCCCAATCTCCTTTGCAGTTAGATGTGGCCATGTGACTGAGTTCAAGCCAAGAGAATGCAAGCAGAAGAGACGTGCACCATTTCCAGGCCTGCCTCCCATGCATTCCTCCAAACTGCTTTCCCCTTGTGGCTGGGACATGGAGATGACCCCAGAAGTGAGTTTGGGAGCCATGTGGTAGAGATATTAGAGCTTCAGATAGCTCAAGGCCCTGAATGGCCACCCTATCAACCTGCTGACCTAGTCATATGGTTACAAGAACAAGAAATAAACTTCTATTATACTGGGGCCATTATACATTTTGGGTCTATCAGTTACACCAGTTACAAGTTAGCCAAGCCTAATTAATTCAGAAACTAACACCTTGAAGTAGAAGATATCATAACAAACACCTAAAATATACCAGGGGCATTGGCTTGACATTCAGGCAGCAAACGTCAAAGAAATGGGTAATTAAGGCTGGAATGATGTAGACTCTTGATCTACACTGGCAAAGTAATTAGGAACTGGGAAGGCAGACCAAAAGTTCACTGGGCCTGTAGCTCTGGGGGAATAAGGTGGAAAGAGCCAAAATGCTAGCTTGTGCAGGATGCTTCTGGATATATTTGGCAAAGAAAGAGTTGAGCTCAGGAAGGAATTTACCAATTTTCAAGCTAAAATAAAATGGAATACAGAGTACAGAAATTTGGGGCTTCACATGGTTGGAAAAGCAAACTGTTTCTAGATCTCATACAACAGGAAGTCTAAAAAAGGCTTTGAACAACAAAGGCCCATTGAAACTTCTCAGCTAAACAAAGTGACTTAGTCCTATAAAAAAGATCAAGTTAAGGATATGGCGTTCCCATCCAAGCCTATTGTTCGGCAAACTTAAGCTTATCTTCATTAAGAAAGACATGGTTAAAAAAAAAAAAAGAAAAAAGAAAGAGACATGGTAAGTAAGAAACTGCAAAATATACCAAGCTTGAGACTTATATCCAGGAAAGAACTTTGGGTGTGATTATTAGTACATGGCAAACAGATCAGAAGCTTCCTAAATTTTTATAGGACAACATATCCAAGATTTCTTTTTTTTTTTTTTTTTTTTAAGATTTTATTTATTTATTTGACAGAGAGAGACACAGCGAGAGAGGGAACACAAGCAGGGTGGGTGGGAGAGGGAGAAGTAGGCCTCCTGCGGAACAGGGAGCCCGATGTGGGGCTTGATCCGAGGACCCTGGGATCACGACCTGAGCCAAAGGCAGACACTTAACTGACTGAGCCACCCAGGCGCCCCTATATCCAAGATTTCAATGTACTTTGTACTTCTTTTCTTCCTGTCTCAGAAGAAGCAGTACCTTTCCTCAATTCTAAGCCATTTATGTCACTGACTTCCCAAATACATCTTCTCAAAAATCTACTCATTCGGGGCACCTGGGTGGCTCAGTCGGTTAAGTGTTTACTCTTGATCTTAGGGTCATGAGATTGAGCCCCGTGCTGGGCTCTGCGCTCGAGCACAGAGTCTGCTCAAGATGGTCTCTCCCTCTGCCCATCACCTTGCTCTCTCTCTAAAATAAGAAAATAAATACAATCTTAAAAAAAAAATCTACTCATCCTTCAGGGCCTACTTCAAATCTCACTGCTACTATTAGCCCGGGGCTCCTTAAAAGGGCTTAAAGATGCTGGTGAATGAATAAAGCTTTCCCAAATCTCTCTCAGCCAGACATGCTCACTCTCCTCTGAAACCATACAACATTTTCCCTAAAACACTTTATTAAGTAGGCCGTCAGTAAATTTGCTGATTTGTGTCACACGGATTTGTGTGCGGGTCTTTTCTCCCCATGGAGAACATTCTAAGCAGACGGGTACAAAAGATATCTCATGTGCCTTTGCTGATCTATGCCAAATGCCTCAAGTGGACAAAGGGAGCCTGACTCTCTCCCAACAATGCTCTCGGTCCTCTGTCCTCTATTGCCCAACTGATGGGAGAGACTGCCAAGCCCCATCTTCACTGCTACTTCCACACAATAAGGAACCCCCAGTCACCATGTTGTTGGTGGTCCACCCCACCCTCTTTATCCTATCTTTGAAAACCGTTGATGCTAATAGGGCTGACGAGCTTCATGCGATGAGAGAGAAATTTATTCACTTCAGGAATTAAGATGAGATTTTAGGGATGAGAGGAAAATCCCCAACTCACCTGGGATTTTGCTGCCTGAAGAAGAGCAGCCATATTCTCCTCCTGAAGATACCCCTTTTGGAAAAGGGCAGACTCCCTATATGGCAGAACTGGAAGGGAAGAATAATAAAGGAATCCAGTTTATTAGTATGTGTCTCAAACCTATTATATTAGAAATAGCCACTTACGACAAAAAGTGCATCTGACCTTGGCTATCATATGGTTGGAAGGATCCCACAGACACCTATGTAATGAGGCTTCCAAGATAACCTCAGGGATGATTCTCTGTATGATCATTAACTGGGTTCAGGATAAGCCTGAGCCTGTGCTCTGAGAATGAGGATCCCTGTGACAACAGCAACAAAAACCCATATACTGTTAGGGTGGGCAGGAAGCTTCCAGACTCCTTTATTCACAAATGGAGAAACTTTCCAACTTCATAGAACGAGAAAAAGGAGCCACAGAGGCAAAGGGCAACAGTGCCCAACCTGGAAGCACCAGCCACCAGATCATGAGTATTCTAGGCCCCTGCTAAGTTTGCAGCCATCCTAGGTTCATTCCACCACACACGTGATCCACTAACTCATAGTCTGTCATCTCGTCCTCCCCTGCATCCCAAGCAACCAACATAGTATTCCTGGTGGCAGGAGGCCTAAAGTGTTGAGAATGAATTCATGATCCCCCAAATCCTTTGACTCCATGCCCATCGAGCAACGTTCTGCTCACAATTTCCCTTCCCACTTTGATTTTTTGCCTACTGGGAGAAAACCGATAATATTAACTTTGTGCCTTCTTTGAGCTTATCTTTGGGTGGCAGGGCTAGCTATATGTCATTTATTTTATTCTATTGCCTTCCTACTATTCTAGTTTATTCTTTCTTTCTCACTCTCCCCCATTACCAAAAAGCAGTACTTAAAGCCCCTTGTCGGGAGTGCCTGAGTGGCTCAGTCAGTTAAGCGTCAGACTCTTGATTTAGGCTCAGCTCATCATCTCGGAGTCGTGGGACTAAGCCCCACATCGGGCTCCCTGCTCAGCAGGGAGTCTGCTGGAGATTCTCTCCCTCCCTTTCCCTCTCTCGCTGACTCTCGCTGCGCACTCACACACTCTCTAATAAATAAATCTTTTTATTAAAAAAATTCTATAGGATTTTCTGTCTATCCCTTGTTTTATGAAAACAAAAGGCATCATCAGTGTATGTGGTCATACCCCAAGCCCCTAGTTCCCCACAGGATGCCTGTCCACTCCTTGTACTGAACTCTGACAATCAGTGAAGGATGGGGTAGAGACGGGAACTTGTAAGTTTCAGGACCCTGAGAAATCAGAGGGGCTGAGGGCAGGATGTCCCAGAAAACCAAACAGACTGAAGCTACACCGTGGAAGCCCCTTCTCATCTGGGCCATCCTTTTGTATCTCAAGAAAGAATACTTCCTAAAAGAGGTTGAAAGGTGGGGCGCCTGGGTGGCTCAGTCGTTAAGCGTCTGCCTTCGGCTCAGGTCATGCTCCCAGGATCCTGGGATCGAGCCCCGCATCGGGCTCCCTGCTCAGTGGGAAGCCTGCTTCTCCCTCTCCCACTCCCCCTGCTTGTGTTCCCTCTCTTGCTATGTCTCTCTGTGTCAAATAAATAAAATCTTTTTTAAAAAGAGAGAGAGATTGAAAGGAAGTCAGGAGCTGTTCTCAATCCTGCCAGAATTGGGCAGTGGACCCTGCAGATGCAGGCCCCAGCTCTGCACTTGACCTCTTCCATGTGCTAGAGTGCCAGATCAAATCCTCTGCTTCTCCATGTCCATTTCCTCTTATCTATCCAAGGAGTCTGACTTGCCCCCTCTCATTCTTTGGAAAGGCATCCAGTATAACAGAGTATGGAGAGTGAGATGTCTTACTTTTTAGAGCTTCAAGTAAAAAGGGAATTATATCAGTAAAGTTACTACTACTTATGGAGCACTCACCATGTACCAGATGCTTTCCATAAATCACTTGTTACAAATGAGGAAACTGATGACTTGCCCAAGGTCTCAGAGCTGCCCACACACATTTGACAAGGCTGCTGTAAAGAAAAACTAAAATGAGATTACTGTGTGCACACTGTAGGTGCCCAACTAACAGCAGAAGCTTCTCTTACTTGTGTTTCTTACCTCTGTTCTGGAGTTTGTGGCTCTGATCCTCCATAACCACAGTCTTTGCACCATTTGGGTAAAGCAACTTCACCCAAATCCTCCATGTCTCTTCCTGGGAATTACCAGCATTCTCCCAGAAACTCTAGGAAGAGATTCTGGATTGAATTATTCTTTTCCATTGTATTTCGTCTTTCATTCTCTGAGACCCTACCCATAACAGTGATGGGGCGGGGGGGTGTCTGAAGCAGTATATTTTGAGCTAAGACTAAAGTCAAGAAGTTCAGCAGTCACTCAGGCTTCAGGAAGCCCTATTCACAGGGAAGTCTCAATATAACCTTTCGCCCAGGGCCCTGCAGAGACAGACACCCAGGAACATAGATAATCACAGACGACAGGTAAAGATACTGTTACCAACATGCCTGAAGGATACACAAGTGCAGGCCATGGTGGCAAGTGCCCCGCTGGGAGTGAAGGCACCTGGGTTCTCATTTCTATGTACCAGATGGCTAAGTGACCCAAAACAAGTAATTTTTCCTCCCTGGGTTCCAGTTGCTTTTTATGTACAAATGGGGAGGTGGATACCTACTATTCATAATGGCTACCACTGATTGAGCCCTTACTTAGCGCCTGGCACTGTGTCAACTGTTTCATACCAAATTTCCACTGAATCCTCACAATCACCACGTAAGGTAGGGACAATAAATTTCACTCGACAGGGCGCCTGGGTGGCTCAGTTGGTTAAGCGACTGCCTTCAGCTCAGGTCATGATCCTGGAGTCCCGGGATCGAGTCCCGCATCGGGCTCCCTGCTCAGCAGGGAGTCTGCTTCTCCCTCTCCCGCTCCCCCCTCTTGTGCTCTTTCTCTCTCTCACTCTCTCTCAAATAAATAAATAAAATCTTTAAAAAATAAATAAATAAAAATAAAAATAAATTTCACTCGACAGGTAAGGAAGAGCAGAGGCAAAGTTCAGTAACTTGCCTACGGTCACATCACTGAGCAATAATCGCTTTCTCGAGACGTAGACAAATGGATCTCTTACATCCACGCCCTCCCGCGTCAACATCGTCTGAGTCTATACAGTGGATCCACCACGCTGTGGGTTGCAAGGGCACAAGGGCAGACGCGCGTTGGTCTCTGAGCTGGGAGCATGGACAGCCTTGGGCCCTACCTGCCTCACCTTCCAGCCAAGCGCTTCAGGCTGTGCGGGGCCTCAGCAAAGGACCTGGACGTGTCTCAGACTTAAACACACGTACACACCACCATCACGTACACACAAAACCCAGAAGAGAGGGGCAGGGTCAAGGTGGCCGAGCCCTGACAGACAGCTCCCCAGCTCCAGCAGGAGGGATTACGGTCAGGTCAGCGGGCCCAGGGAGATCCCCAGTGGGACGCGCGACCAGACCCCCAAGCCTGACAATCCCCTGCTGGACACACACCCCCGTCCAACGTCTGCTCCTGCCGGGTTCAGACACCGAGCTGGTCACTGTAGGTAGGACCACAAGAACAGACCAGCCGCGAGCCGAGCGCGTCCAGACAAAGGAGCCGGAAGCGGAAGTGCGCGCCGAGGCTCCTGGGAAATGTAGTCCAACCCTGCCCGCCGCCTGGGCTCGGAAAAGCCCCCCGCTCGGCTGAGTTGAAACGCGGCCCCGACCTTCCAGACTCCCCCTTGTTCTGCCCTCAGGGGCAAGCCCTCGCGTGGCCCAAAAAGGAGAGGTTAACGTTAGCAGCCCAGCGAAAGTGGACAGGAACCTTTGGAGGCGTTTACTAAACCATCAAGGACTGTCTAGAGTGTTCGGGGGAGGGTGGGGTTGGGGCCTGGAGAGCAGAGGTCTCCTTCCATGAGCTGGTCCCTCTGGTCCCTCTGGTCCCTCTTCATGGAATAAGCGGAGCTGCAGCACTTCTTCAGAAAGCCCGACACGACAGTCCCACGCTTGAGGTTCCGCACCTTTCCAGGAATCCTGTCGGATGCCCTGTGCTCGCACATTCTGGGGCAGACCTTCAGTGGTTCCCAGGCTCCAGCACCCTCAGCCCAGAGCCCGGGGACTTTGACGGCCTTTTGGGTTCCTGTCACCGAAGTGTAGTATTCTGAGACGCGGAGAGGTGGAGCCCTCTCCGGGCGAGGAACACATCTGCTGTGTCACTGTTCTTAGCACCTTGATGTTTACAGTCTCAGTCCAAAAGAGTGCCGCATTGTTCCTATTATTTCCTGTTGGCTAGCCATTCCCACACGCATGACAGTCCTCCAGATCTCTTAGAGACTGATTTTATACCTATCTAGGTTCAGTTAATTTAGCCTTTTGGGGGTACATTCTACAGCCAACTCTCCATGATGGGCTCATCCGAATGTACTTCTACTCGGTTCTACTGCGACAAGACGGAAGACAGTTGAGTTGTTGGTGTCTTCTTTATCACTTCCAGAAGCAGGAGGTGTTGAGAGGGTGCATACTCCCAACTCCTAGGACAAACCCCCAGGCTCACCACCACCTCTACCCCCCACCCCACCCCTGAGGAGGAGAACCTCTATATGAATCCAGCCTATCCAATCTTCATACCTGTGTCCTGGATCCTGCCTTTCCAAGCACTTTTCTTTTTTTTTTTTTTTAGATTTATTTATTTATTTATTCATGAGAGATAGAGAGAGAGAGGCAGAGGCAGAGGGAGAAGCAGGCTCCCCGCGGAGCAGGAAGCCCGATGGGGGACTCGATCCCAGGACCCTGGGATCATGACCTGAGCTGAAGGCAGACGCTTAACCGACTGAGCCACCCAGGCGTCCCTCTAAGCACTTTTCTGCCCGGAATGCATTGGGCATCACAAAAATGCTGCTGAAAAGAAAGCAAACCCCTCCAATGTGATCCTTATGCCGGGATTTCAGAAGGAATGCTGAGGTCTCTAGAGTTTCAGTAGGGAAAACCCAACGAACGGTCTACCAGCTGGACTCCCCCTTTTCCACACTACCCATCCCCCAAATCCCATAACCCCCAGTAGTCTGATGGTTTCTTTTGAATGTGTAAGGTGATAGATACAACAAGAATGGCAAATTGTTGATAGTTATTGACATTGGGTGATAGATAAATGAGCGTTCATTGTGGTATAACCTCAACTTTTGTTTCAAATTGCCATAAAGTAAATTTTAACAATGCAAATTAACTTAAAAAATAAAGCAGATTAGATCATCTGTCCGCTATGCTCAGCATTTTTGGTTGGCTTCCCACTGTAGAATAAAATCTGAAGTTTATACTATTAAGGATTTTTTTTTTTTTTTAAGATTTTATTTATTTATTGGACAGACACAGAGAGAGAGCACAAGTAGGCAGAGCGGCAGGCAGAGGGAGAAGCAGGCTCCCTTGTGGGCAGAAAGCCTGATGCAGGACTGAATCGCAGGGCGCTGGGATCATGACTTGAGCTGAAGGCAGCCGCTTAACGACTGAGCCACCCAGGCGCCCCCCACACAGCATTTTTAGAGAGTGAAATAGAACAGAAAAGAAGAAAAAAACACTGGAGTTTATAACATGTAATAATAATATGTCCTGTTTCGATGCACTTTTCTTTCTGTTCTGTGTTTGTGCATACTTGGTTATCATGCAGTGTGTGTGCTTGTGTGTGTGTTTTCTGTGAGTCAGATACTCTGACCCCACAGAAATCAGTGATCTGACCCAGTCTCCAACCTCCTATCTCTCTCCCTTAGCCCTTACCACTACTTTACCCTCCACCACCATCCTCAATCCACTCCAGCCTCCTGGATATTCATCATGCCAAACTCTATCCCCAGATACCCACATAGCTCTCACTCACTCACCTTTTTCAGATCCTGTTTGAATGTCATCTTTAACACCAGAGTCTTCCCTCAACACCATATACAAAATCGGGGAGCCCAATAATGCCATTCACTATCCCCCTTATTCACCTTATAATGTCTTTTTTTTTTTTTAAGATTTTATTTATTTATTTGACAGAGAGAGACACAGCGAGAGAGGGAACACAAGCAGGGGGAGTGGGAGAGGGAGAAGCAGGCTTCCTGCTGAGCAGGGAGCCCGATGTGGGACTAGATCCCAGGACCCTGGGATCATGACCTGAGCTGAAGGCAGTCACTTAACCAACTGAGCCACCCAGGCGCCCCCACCTTATAATGTCTTAATGATACTTATCTCTACTTGACATATATTTATGTTTATCTGTTTACTATTTTCCTTTCTCCACTCCAAATATAAGCTCCTCTGTTTTGACCAATGTTGTATCTGAAGTAAACACTTAATAAATGTTTGTACTGTCTTGTGCATTCTTTATTAGATTAACTCCTAGGTACTTTTGTTGATCTTTTTTTATTTTATTTTATTTTTTTATTTTTTTAAAGATTTTATTTATTTATTTGAGAGAGAGAGAATGAGAGACAGAGACCACGAGAGGGAAGAGGGCAGAGGGAGAAGCAGACCCCCTGCTGAGCAGGGAGCCCGATGGGGGACTCGATCCTGGGACTCCAGGATCATGACCTGAGCCGAAGGCAGTCGCTTAACCAACTGAGCCACCCAGGCGCCCACTTTTGTTGATCTTGTGACTGATCTCTTACAACATTTACCCTTCCACCACATGAGGACACAGCAAGAAGTCCGCATTCTGCAACCTGGAAGAGGGTTGTCGCCAGAACTTGACCATGCTGGCACCCTGACCACGGACGTCCAGACTCCAGAACTGTGAGAAATTAATTTCTATTGTCCATAAGCAACCCATCGTATCCTGTTATAGCAGTCCAAACAGGCTAAGACATGTTTGTATTTATTCTTAGGATTTGAGAATTAGACATTCTATCAACCATTTAAAAAAATGATATTTGTACTTCACTGAACTTGAAATATAGCCATGGTACTAATATTACTAAGTAAATACAATATATTTTAATATAGCAACACAAAAAATGATTACATAAATTATAGAGCCCTTGGTAGCAACTTTTAATATTTTGCCAAAGGGAAATATTGTATTTCATTGTAGATTATTTTTTTGTTCTACAGATCACATGTGCATACCCACCCCGGGAGAAAAAAACAATCAGTATTGCAACTAGTATAGCATGGAATTGTTTTAATTTTCCCTGGTAGTTTATAGCAGAAAAATTGTTTTATTGTGAACAGCATATAGAATGTTGAGTAAGACCATCTTCATTGGGTCCCTGGGTGGCTCAGTTGTTAGGCGTCTGCCTTCAGCTCAGGTCATGATCCCAGGGTTCTGGGATCAAGTCCCACATTGGGCTCCCTGCTTGGCCGGGAGTCTGCTTCTCCCTCTGCCCTCCCCACTTCTTGTGCTCTCTCTCACAAAAATGGAGAGGTAAAATTTTTTTAAAAAAAGAAAGACCATCTTTATCAACTTGAGCTCTATTTTACAAAAGGAATCTACCTAGAAGAAATACAGTGAAGCATAATAGCTTATGGTTTACTTATTTACTAGATAGGAAAAGAAGAAATTAATACTGAGTGGTTGCCTTCCATGTGCTCAACACACCTGTTCGTTGCTCTATATACATTATCTTATTTACTCTAAGAAGAATGTTCCTATTTTATTTTTATTTTTTTAAGTTTCATTTATTTACATAATCTCTACACCCAACATGGGGCTCGAACTCATGACCCCGAGATCGAGTCCCGTGCTCTTCCGACCAAGCCAGGCAGGTGACCCAGATGTTCGTTCCTATGTTAAAGATAGTAATCGTCATCTTCTTTAAAGACAAAGAAATGAAGGCTCAGGGAGTTACAGTAAATAGCCCAAAGTCACACCAGCAGAAAATGACATTCAAGTCAAGAGCCAGGTATCATTTAATTAACAAATTAACAGACTCATTGCTGAGCAGGAAGCCTGACACAGGGCTCAATCCCAGGACCCTGGGATCATGACCTGAGCTGAAAGCAGAGGCTTAACCAACTGAGCCACCCAGGCACCCCTATTTTCCTGTTTTTAGAACATCTTATATAAGATAGAGATTTATTCCTTAAAAGTTTGGTAGAATTTGGAGTGTGGTCTCTTATTTCAATTTTTTTTATGGTAATTGATCTGTTAAATTTTCCAATTTAATTTTGTACTGATTTTTTTCATTGTATATTTTCATAAATTTATCTACTTTGTTTCTATGTTTTCAAATGTATTATTTAATAATCTGTTGTGTCTCCATTTTTTCTGCTTATTTCATCTGTCTGCTTTCCTTTTTTTAAAAGTTTTTATTGTTACGTTAATCACCATACATTACATCATTAGTTTTTTTGATGTAGTGTTCCATGATTCATTGTTTGTGCATAACACCCAGTTCTCCATGCAGAACGTGCCCTCTTTAATACCCATCACCAGGAGGGATGCCTGGGTGGCTCAGGTGGTTAATACCATCACCAGGCTAACCCAACCCCCCACCCCCCCCAGAACCCTCAGTTTGTTTTTCAGAGTCCAT